TTCCCCCCCCCCCCCCCCCCCCCCCCCCCGCTGATGAGAGGAGCAGAAAGGAAAGAGAAAGAAGAGGAGAGAGAAAGAACACAAAAAACTAAAACACAGGTAAGATTTTCAATTAACTCTTCATACTACTCTACCTTATTTCAAAGCTATGGACTGGTAAGGAGACCCAGGACTTGGACAACGTGACTGGGGGGTTAGAACGGGGAGAAGATGATCTTTTATGAAATTGGATCACATGCTGTTTTCATTTGTAACCTGACCTGGTTGCAGACAAATGTTCCCACTAACTTCTCAGCCCACAATAAAGGATGGCTGTCTCTGGTGAGTCACATTTTCAGTCTGAGATTGAGGAGGAGGTGGGCACGTAAAGGGTCACACTGAGTATTAGGTCTGAAAAAAGGAAAATCCCTGCTGCAGAACAAAGGAAGTGAATTGAGGCTAGATGTGGGAAAAGGATCAGTGATGGTTTTCTAGCTGTTCATTTTCCTGGTTCTTTCTTTAATCCCTTTTTACTTTCATTGCCTCTTCAATCCACCTCTTTTCTTTAGCTTTGTCAGATTTTCTTTTCTTTCTAGCACCCTTTCTACGTATTACCATTTTCCTTACCTCCCTTATTTACTTTCACTTTTTTCTCTATTCAGCTTAATTGACACTCTCTAGATAAAATCTGAAGCCAGGTAGTAATGAACTGCAAAATGTCCTAAAGTGATGCTGGCCAGAGTCTGCCATCATTTTGCTTTTGCGTTTCTGGAACTGACTCCTCCTCTGAGCATGACATTTCATTGAAAGCATGTGGGTGAGTGGGTGCTTGCTGAAAAATGTCCAGTGACCAGTTTTTACCAATTGGCATCAAATTTTAATACTGTCATTTATGAAGTTTTTGCCCACTGGAACCAAAAAGTTCCCATCCCATTAAAGTGAAGGCAGACTGGGAAGTAAGAGGATAATTGGAACCTGCTCACCCTCTCCTCATGGACCCTAACCTCTCTGACTTCCTGCTGGCTCAGCAGGGTAAAACTAGAAGGTTAGATGGGACTTGAAAGTCAGAAGCCACTACCAAACCACTAAGCCTCAAAACCCAAAGCTAGGAACAGAGCCAAGGTATCGTTACTGCCTGGGAGACTAAAGAAGGTAAACATCCAGTCCTGTCCAGTGTGAAGTTGGTAACAATAATTTCAATATATATTGATTAGTTCCCTATACGACAGGTAATAATATATTCTATAAGATAGATGCTATTCTTATTTCCATTTTATAGATAAGGGAATAGAGGCTCAAATATTTAAGGAATTTGTCCAAGGTCCCTTAGCTAATAGGTGACAAAACTGGATTCACATTCTGATCTGTATAACTTCAGTGTTCAAGCTCTTAGACTATATGCTAATACTTTCTCAGATCAATGGTTAAGAAATACTAGATGAATAAATGAAACCATTAACTGGCAGCCTTTAGATCACCAGATTCCCTTCTGGTTCTGTATGACTTTATGTTAGCCTTTTCCTGGTCTTGTACTTAAGTGTCCATCCCCATAACTTGGTCCAAGGAACATCTTCATCTGATCCCACCAGGATCAGTTGAAGATAGTTCATTTAATGTCTGGGGAAAAGGGACCATAATAACAGTCTTGTTATTCTATAAAGTGGAACATCTTTATGTAGGGGATGGTATGGCAGGCATTATTAATTTTAAAATCTTTCTTCTTCCTCACAGATCCCATACATCTGCTTCTTCTCACTTTTGGAAGCTCATAGGCTTCTGAAAGCATTTTCCTTTATCTGGGTACTTTGGGCTACATACCCTTATTTTTTATTTCCCTAATCCTCCCTTTCAAGGATGGTTGGTCAACTAATTCAAAGAGGAGCTCTCCCTCTGCTGCTCTTCCTAACTCCAGCAGTGACACCAACATGGTATGCAGGTAAGTTCTAGAGCTGATGGCCTTTATTTCCAGGGAGGGCAGAGCTGAGACCAAGACCTGGAGAAGGGAAGAGTTAGACTATCACGAAAGACCTTTATTTTAGATATAAAGAAAAGCTACTAAAGGGCAATAAAGATGGCCAAATATTCCAATTAGCTACCAAGGATAGCCTTTGAGACACCCTAACAAGAGCTGTTTGAAAATGGGTTGTGAGAGCATAAAGCTGAGAAGGTTGGACAGCATGGCCTTTTAAGCTATTGTCTAACCTGCTTTTGCACTTATCTTCCTAAAAACTCTTCTCTAATCATTTCTTTATGAGTTAAATCTTTATTCAAATTATGACTCAAATACCCTTGTCAAGATTGCAAAAATGGAACTTAGACCAATTATCTCATTTGGGAAAAAAAATGGGGGAGACAGGCAATCCATCATACTTCTTCTCTCTCTTTCGACCTCCAAGAACTTATGTATGAGATTGTGACAGCCCCTTTCTGGTAAAGCTGTTAATAGCAATACAGATCACATTCTCTTAATCAGGAATTTCCCAGTTTCTTTTTCTTGTTCCTTACTTCAGAAGGGATGGAGATTTCTGGATTCCTCAATGTTTCACCCTCTGTCCCCGGGGACAGAGAGCTACAAGAGTGGACTCAGTGAGGAGAGAGAAAATGGGAGGTGGATGGGGGTGAGGGAAGGATAATGAACTGACATATAGAGGTTTCTGATGGGGGCCCAGCTGGCATTCCAAGTGCTAAGAATATTCTGTGGACTGTAGTGTCTGCCCTCACAGGAACTGGGGGGTGGAGGATAGGGGAATGAGACAGGCACAACCATTGGGATTAGGAAAATATCCAGAGATGAGTAAATAACAAACTGCTCTCATCACAGCCACAGTCATTGCAGCTAAAATTTTCCACATACCCTTAGCTCCTGGTGGAGGCCTTTGGCAGTAGCTTTGTTTGTCTGGAACAGCTGCATCAAGCTTTCATACAAATATGCAAACTTCTTCCTCTTTTTGGCTTAACCTGGCTTTGTAGGGGGCGAAGCACAAGGGCTGACATTGAGATGAAGAAATTCAAATGAAGCCCTTGGCAGAGTACACACTGTTTGGGGTTAAAGGTGCCCCAAGTCTCCAGGAGGTAAATATGCAGCTGTCCTCCCCAGCCTCCCACTGACTTCAGTTCAAGCATGGAAGACCAAAATCCAGGCAAAGATCACAGGACTAAGGGAACAAAGATAGATGGCTCAAAACCCAAATTTGAATAACTGTGTGAAACCTCATTGCATGCAAAGGCCTTTGCCTTTCCCAGAATAGAGAGCCTGGACTGTTGGAGTTCTGAGGAAATGGTTGTTTTTTTGTTTTGTTTTGTTTTTTAATTTAGATTCATTTGAGGGTCTCAAAAGGGCTTGTTTGCAAAGGAGGCACTCCCCACTTTCCTGTGAATCACTGCTGCTTTTGAGGAGCCCAGGCTGGTGAGGTGTCTGACAGCCCTGCAAATCCTTCTTAGGAGACTACATAATTTGAGGTCCTATGATTCTCCCCTACTTTGCTAGCTAAGCCACTGGATTTTCCTCCAGGAAAAGGATCCAGGTATAATTAGCAAAGGGTGGGAAATTTTACAAATATAAATGAAGCCAAGAGAGGATTAAAAGTGTGTATTGGCATAGCTGTGCAGTTCAGGAAGTCAGAATGTATTTGTCATCATAAACTAAGCATTAATGAGGATCTTAGTCTTCAACTATCAGTTACATTTCCAACCATTCCTTTATGAAAGACCATGTTTAGAGGGTCTGACTGTGCTATGGAAGTTGAAGGAACCCAGTAACAGACCACACTGTAACCAACCACTGATTAATCTAAAGAATTGAGAAATGCTGTCCAAGCCCATCCCCCAGTGCCAATGAAGGACATGCAAATAGAATAGTGTAGAGAGTTTGCTACTTTAGTTTCATTCTTATACTCCACCTCAATATCTCAATATATGCATAAAAATACTCAAAGGCAGGCAAGGAGGAAAAACGCAGAGGTATAAAGTATTAAGTGGTCTGAGCCCATTCCTGGTACAAAGGAAACTTGGCACTGGTGTACCTACCTCTGCACGCTGGTGGAGACTGTAATTACCTGATTGAAGCTTCTCCTCAGTTTTTCCACATCCCCTGTAATTCTGGATTGATGTAAAACACTTGGTGGCCTTCCTCCCCCTACACACACACACACACACACACACACAGCTGGATTCCAAGAAAGATTGTGGTTTTTTAAATTCATGCTACACATTGTAAAAAGCTCTCCTCTACAATTATTTTTAGTGGAATATCTGACTTCAGAAAATAGGGGTCAAATAGACCTGAGCTGAAATGCCCACTCTGCTACTTACTAGCAACTTCCTTAATTACTCTGAGCCAGCCTCTTCCTCTGTACATTGGAAAGTGTTGATAGTATCTACCCCATTGAGATATCACAGTGACATAACATATGCTTAACCCAGAGTAGGAGATGAGTGATGTTGGCAGTCATTGCTGTCTTGCTGTTATTGTTATCCAGCCATAGACCTCTGACACTCCTGTTTTCTCTTCTGGTAAACAGCTGTTTGCTCCCTGCTGAGCATTTCTTCCCAAGCTAGCTCTGTAACAAGAGTGGGGAGACCTAATACTTTAGGGAGTCACACACATCTGGTCTCCTGTTTACAGGAGCTGTGAAGCTTTGAGGCTAGTACTAAACTGAAACAGCTGACAAGAATTCCATGCCTCACAAAGAAACCTCCCATGTGGGAAAAGAGAAAGCAGGGGAGATGAGGTCTAAGGAGAAATAAAGGGAAGCCAGAAGAAATTAATTGGGAAAACAGAAAGAAAAAACACGAAAGGGAAAGAGAAAAAATGAACTCTTTCTTTTGGAATGAAGGCAAACCAAAAAGGACATGATTTCATAAGGCAAACTTTCAATTTGATTCATTCCCTTATTCACCAAGTTGGACTGGTTTCCCAACACTCCCCACCCCACCCCCATCTGGACCTGTGGAGAGTAAAGGAACTTCATCATCTAGCCCACTGCTCCACCCTTTAGTGCAGGGGGCCCTCTTCATTTTCACAGAGAGGAGGCCTCCAGCTTGTGGTCTGTTTACACAGACACTAAAACTCAGCCTTGTTCTAAAAGCACACCTTCTCCTAAAAAATGGAGAATTCTCTCATACTTCAGCACTGGTTGGTTATCCTATTCCTATGTGCATTAGAGCTCAGGGTGCGCTGGAAGAAGGGTTTCCTGAAACTTCACTCCGGAAAGAACCAAGTTGTTTTCCAATTAGTTCCTATTCATGACTGATTTCCTGCTGTCTGGTGGAACATACTGTTTAGTCTCCCAGACAGCTGCAGACCTGCCTCCACCAGGGAATGAATTGCTTAACTGGATGGAGGTAGATTAAGAATGTCCTCTAGTTCAGCCGTTCCCTACTAAAGCTCCTGCTGATTACAGGAACAGGAAATTTATCCAAAGGACTTTGCCTTGGGCTGGGTTATAACTCAGTGATAGAGGGCTTGCCTAGCACGCATGAGGCCCTGGACTCTATCCCCAGCACTGCAAAACAAAACAAAAAAGTAAAAGAAACAAAAAGTATTCTGCCTCCGTATTTCCCCAAACCAGGACAAAGTGCTCATGAGACTGTTCTCATTCATTCTTGCCTTTTGAGCCATCCATCTCTGCCTTGGCATGCCACCCCCAGCAATAGTAGTCAGGTGACAAAAATACCCCTGCACTGTAGACTAATGGAAGCTTGAACTATTTTCCTCTGAGGACTTTGAGCAGGCCTGTCACTAGCAGAAGGAAGACACTTTGGCTTTCTTTTTTCCTCCTACCTGAGACAAGAGTCCATCTTCTGAGTTTGGTCATCAGTGTCTCACCAAGAATCTCAGGTTGCATCAAGGAAATGGATCACTTATAATCCAGATTGACAGGACTGCTGGATGGTCAAGAATTTTAATTATTTTTCATTTGAAAGGAGTCTTTCAGTGCTATTACTGTGTTCCCTGGCCGTGAGCTTGCCTTTTACAGTGATCCTCTTATATACTGAAGGTCACCCACAGTAAATACAAGTTTGCAAGTCACTTGGCTCCCTGACCATGGAGTACAAAGTTGTGGGGGAGTTGGGAAGAATTTAGGAAGAAATATACACACCATCTTGATACTGTCTTCTTTTTTATAGGCTCAGGCTACTATCCAGATGAAAGCTACAATGAAGTCTATGCAGAAGAGGTCCCTCAGGCTCCTGCCCTAGACTACAGAGGTAATCTTCACTTCTCAATCTCAGGAACACTCTCTCCCTGGCCTCAGGCCTAGGCACTTCCCTGAAGCATCCTCCTCCATGCTTGGCTCATATGTGCCAAAAATGCAGCACAAGGAATTATTGAGGCTATGATTTTAAACATGAATTTGGTTACTGACATGCTGTGGGACCTCACCTTTCTAGCCTGAGGTTGTCCATCTATTATTAATCCTTAATATTGACTGAGTACCCCATGTATGCCTAATCCTATGCAAGGTAAGCCATTGTGTGATGCAAAGATAGGGGGTTTATCCTCCTTAAAAAGCTGATATTCTGTTGGGGGTGAAGGGAGGATAAAATTAGCACATGCCAAGCAAGTAAGCATGAGACTCTGTGGTAGCAGTAAATGCAATGGGAGCTGAGACAAGGAAGCCAGGAAATCATTCATGAATGATGACATTTAGGCTAGACTTTCAATGATGAATAGGATTTTGAAAACTGGAAAGGGGAGGGAAGGGCACTTGGCAAAGGAGGTGGCCAAAGATATGGAGGTAAGAGCAGACCCATTACAGGAGGGAGTTAAGAAAAAAATAGCCTGACTGGAGGAGATGGAATGTCAAGGGAGTAATAGAAAATAAAACTAATATAAAGAGTGAGATCAAATTAGGAAAGCCTTTATGACATAGGGACCATTCTAAGGAGAGGCAACGGACCACCTGTGACAAATGCTAAATAATGATTCCTGCATTAAAAGGAAGGTTAGGCCAGATGATATCTAATATCCCTTCCATTTCTGATTCTCTGTTTCTATGCTTAGCATGTGATTGCAGAAAAGTTTAGCTGTTGTGCTAAAAGATATAAGGACCATATCACAGGTTTTTGCAGAGGGAAGCGACAGTGTAAATGATAATCTTAGAACACTAACCTGCTTATTCTGTTCAGAAAGTAAGGATTGGGAGGAGTAGAGCCTGCATCTGGGAGGCTCTCCAGGAACCAGTTATAGTAATGTTAGCTAGAGATGATAGAGAGTGTGGCACTGAAATGCAGAATAAGGATATGCTGTAAAATGGGCTGGGTTGCAGCTCAGTGGTAGAGTGCTTGCCTAGCATGTGCAAAGCCCTGGGTTCAATCCCCAGCACTGAAAATAAAAAGATGTACCCCAGATACACTTCAAAGAAAATGACCAAGATTTGGTACAGATTTGATGAACCAAGAAAGAAAGAAACTGATGTCTGAAAGCATCCAGTCTGAATACCTAGGAGAACTGTAAGACTCCTCTAAAAGACAAAGTTAAAAAAAAGAAAACTAGAGCTGGCTGCAGGGGTGCATACCTGTAATCCCAGTAACTCAAGAAGCTGAGGTAAGTCTGAGGACAAACTCAGCAATTTAGCAAAACCCTGTCTCAAAATAAAAAGGGCTAGGGACATAGATCAGTGGTAAAACACTCTTGGATTCAATCTCTAGTACAAAAAAAAAAAAAAAAACAGAAGCGACAAAGAAAGAAAACAAACTGGTTTGGTAAAGATACTCTATGAACACTTGGAAGTGGAAATATGAAGCTTTGTGAGTCCCTGACTTAGATGAATGGGCTCTGAGGAAGCAGAGAGCCAAGGTCAAAGCCTTAGAAGACATCTGTAGATATGAGTAGGAAAAAAGGAGCCAGCAAGGTAGAGAGAGTTAGCAGTCAGCCATATGAAAGAAGATCAGGGTAGTGTGTATCATATTACAGAAGGCACATAAGAAGAGAGTTTTAGGAAAATGGAAAGGTTAAGAAATCAACTATGTCAGGTATTACAAAGAGATCACATTGAAGGGAGAAATTTTATTTAACAAAAAGAAGGTGACCTTTGACAAAACCATTTCAGTAGAAAAATGATCAGAGTTTTGGGTTTTTCTATGCCACTTTTTAGTTACTTTGTCTCTTCTTGTTATCAATGGTCCACACCCACTGCCTCTGCTTCAGTGCCCACTAAATTCTAAACTTCCTGTAGTCTGTTTTCCACCCACCTACTAATCTCCAAACTGAAACATCTCTTGAAGACAGTAATTCTCTCCCATGATCAAATCACATAGCTTTGAGCTTTAGTCTCCTCAGTCTCTCCAGCAGCACTGAGCAAGCCCCTTTCTTTTAAACCCCTCTTCCTTGGGATCCATGACATTTTATTACTCTGTTCATAGCTGAAGCCAAGAAAGAAGATGGGTTCTCTGGTGGCAAAAATACAGAGAATGAAGCTGGGATCTTGGGCAACCTTGACTGGTCTCAAGCTCCTGGACTATATCTCCAACTGCTGCTAGACACTTCCATTTGGAGATATCTAAAACAAAATTCTTCCATCTTGCCTGAAGAAGGTTCTACCAGTTGACCTTCCTACTTCTGACATTCTCTTAGTTAGAATACCTCAGTATTACTTCTAATAATAATAGTTCCTTTAATAGTTCCTTTTCCTCATTCACCAAGACCTATCATTTCATTATTAATCCATGGGAATAAAACTTTTATTACTTCACACATGAATAATGCTAGTTGCCCCTAACTGCATTCTCTGACTCATGTTTTTCTCCCCTAAACCTAGTGTCCCACTATGACCATTTTTCTTTTTTCATTTTTCTGGTACTAGGGATTGAACCCAGAGACCCTTAACAACTGAGCCACATCCCCAGCCCTTCTTTATTTTTTATTTTGAGACAAGGTCTTGCTAAGATGCTTAGTGCCTCACTAAGTTGCTGAGGCTGGCTTCAAATCTGTGATCCTCCTTCCTCAACCTCCTGAGCCACTGGGATTCCAGGCATGTGCCAGCATACCCAGCTCCACTATGACCATTTTTAATCAGAATCTGTCTCCATCTATCTTCCCAGCTTGACATCGTCTCACCCTTCTCCCCACTTGAAATCTGTGCTTCATTCAGGGTGAGCTTTTCCTTACTCTCTCACTCTCACTGAATATTGAGAGGTACTACTATATACCTCTTATGAAATCAGTATTTATTACCTAAACTACTCATCTGTACTGACTCTTTGATCTACTTTTTATTACTCTCAAAAAAATATCTATCCATTTAACAGAAGGAGCCATGAATATCACTCCCACAGAGCTATGCTAAAAGTAGATGCTGACCGTCAGCATCCTAGGAACAGAAGCCAGATTGTAGACTCCAAATGGGATAGTAAAAAAGCAACAAACATAGAAGGTATTTTTGAGGGGTGGGTCTGGCAGCCCTATAATTAATATTATCTGCCTCATTGGCTATTTTTAAATTAGCAAAAAGGCCTTTAGAAAAATATAAGTCAGTCAGGTGTGGTGGTGCACACCTGTAATCCCAGTGACTCAGGAGGCTGAGGCAGAAGGATTGATTGCATGATCAAGGTCAGCCTTAGTAACTTAGTGAGGCCCTCAGCAAGTTAGCAAGACCCTGTCTCAAAATAAAAAGTAAAAAGGGCTGAGGATGTGGTTCAGTTGTAAAGTGCCTCTGGATTCAATCCCCAGTACCAAAAAAGAAAAATATAAGTCACATGGCAACATTTGGCCTTGGGGTCTAATGTCTTATAGCTCTCTTCAGGACTTACTCTCAGGACATAAAATGAATCAAACATAGTTATTAATGATGAGTGGAAAGGAGTAGCCAGGAAAAGTACAACCTGAGGTCCCAACCTCCCTTGTAAGACCCTTGTCACTTCATAATCAACAGCTCTGCAACTGTAGTGATTAAGGACTTTCTGTAATTTGGTGTCCCAGATGACAATCATATGTGTCACAGCTACATGCCAAGACACTGGAAATCACAATGTGTTGTTATTTGAATACTGATGAGAGAGGGGCTCAAACCCAGACATTGATTTAGGAAATACCACTCATAGGACTAAATATTTTACATGTGTAGTTTTAATTGATTCTTACCACAGTTCTATAGAATTGATTTATTATCCCTTGTTTTACAGATCAGGAAACTAAGCTCATGGAAGTTAAATTTAGGGTCACAGAGCTTAGAGGAGACAAAACAGGAATTTGTTTATTTTTTAAAAAAATTATTCTGTAGCTGTTGATGAACAGCATGACTTTATTTTATTTGCTTAATTTTGTTTGTGGTGCTGAGGATCGAACCCAGTGCTCCACACATGACAGGCAAGTACTCTGCCACTGAGCCACAGCCACAGCCCCACAAAACAGGAATTTAAACTCAGGTCTGTCTGAATTCAGAGCCATGCTTATTTCATCTCTTTCATTAAAAATGTAACTCACTGGGGCTGGGGCTATAGCTCAATGGTAGAGCACTCACCATGTGTGAGGCACTGGGTTCGAGCCTCAGCACCACATAAGGATAAAAAAATAAAGATATTGTCCATCTGCAACTAAAAAAAAAATTAAAGATATTTAAAAAATGTAACTAATTATCTAAAAAGAAAAAAAATAAAAACAACTGCTAAGCAATAAAAAACATATGATTATTGTAGAGCAAACTGCCCATGTAGCTTGGTACCATTTTCACTAATCTTGCATTTCCTGTTATTCCCTTATCATGAAACAGCTTGAAGTCAGAAATTCTTCTCTCAGGTGCACACTCAGTCTGCTGGGCTGCTGCTTTCCTCACAGCTTGACTCAGCCCTGAGCAAACTAGTCACTCTGCCTGGGTTATCTGAAGGTAATTACAGAGAAGGACCTTTCAAACCTGTTGTCAGTGCTCTTTTCATTACAAGCCTTTTTAAAAAGAGAGAACCCTTATAGCTCTTTGGCCCTGGACAAACTCTTATTATGTGCCAGTCAGTGTACTAAATATTTTATGTTATTTCATTTAAACAAATCACATCCTTACTAGGTAGTGATATGGAAATATTTCTAAGCTACAACATCCATTTTATTTTTTAAAAAAGGTAATGGTAGGAGCTGGAGGTATAGCTTAATGGTAGAGCATTTTCCTGGTATGTGTGAAGCCCTGGCAGAGGTTCAAGCCACAACAACACACCAAAAAAGCAATGGTGGCAACAATAGACATATACTGCTCCATGTGTTATAAAGGAGGGGAAACAAGATGATGTACCAACATTTGCATTATATGCATAAAGAAACTATTAACAATGGGGTCTTAGAACGAAAGTAGGATTGGGTGGGGACATTTTACTGGGTAATATATTATACCCTGGGGGGTTTGACCCATATGCATACATTACCTCTTCAAAAAGGTCAATATACCCTTCAAAATAGCTGCTGCAGTAGCAAATTTTGTACTTAGAAAAAACAAGGGTTTTAGAGAAAAAGTTCTGGTCAAATCCCAGCCCTATTTCTTATTTGCTGAGGAACCCTGGGAAAGTTACTTACTCATCTGTAAAATAAGGATAAATACCTACTTAGCCTCAGAGGGCTGTTGGGAGAACTATATGGGGTGATGTATATGAAGGAAAATTATGTAGTATGGTACCTAGTCATAGTAAGTACTCAATATAGACTAACACACATTTCCAAGCAGACATTCTCACCATACAGTATTTAATTTGTTTTGTTTTGTTTTGTTTTGTGGATTGAATCCTGGGGCACTTAGCTACTGAGCCACATCCCCCCAGACATTTTTATTTTGAGACAGGGTCTCGCTAAGTCACTTACAGCCTCACTAAACTGCTGAGATTGGCCTCAAACTTGCCATCCTTCTGCCTCAGCCTCCCAAATGGCTATTACTGGCTGTAATAGTCATGTGCCACCACACCCAGCTACCATGCAGTATTTAACCATGTTCTTAGTTTCAGTTTCCCATTGGCATTCTTTGGGTACAGTTGTTCAGCCAGTTATGAATCTCTCTAACTGTATTGTCACCCCTCCCATATTTCTTCCTCTCATCCACATCACTGGCATGAAAAGTATTGACACATGCTTCACTTCATTTCTCCTGTTCTACCAGTCTGGTGGCCCTACCCAAAAAGGAAATGAGGTCAGTCTGCAATTACTTGTTCTCAAGTGCTCCTGGAGATCATCACTTCTCTACCAGATCATAAGTCATACCTTTAAATATTCTAGAAAACTATGCTTTCAGTGTCGCCAGGCTATAGTTCTCAGAGGCTACCTTCTTTCTTATTTGAAAATGGGGATTGTTGCTTTGCCCTTCACCAGCCTTCCAATGTTTTTTCTTTATGCCAGGATTCTTCTGGGCCAGCAAATTTGAACTTATTTACAATAGCTGGGCCTCTCTTACTGTCTCAGTATTTATCCTGAGCTTTCTATTTCCCTTTACCATGCTTGCTTTTTTATCAGTTTCAATCTGATGTGTATTTTCTTTTATGGAATAAGAGAAAAAATAGAATGGAAGTGATTGCTGAGGTCCCAACCTCCCATTTAAGGTCGTTGTAATATGTGTTGTGGCCTTATAATCAACAGCTCTGCAACTACAATGCTTAAGAGACTTTCTGTAATTTGGAGATGGTGTCTCCAGATGGCAGCCCTGTCACTGCCACAGGCTTGAAACTAATACTGGGAGCCCCAAACATGGCGTTAGTTGAAGAATAGTTTTCTCTCCGTCATCTGTCTTCATTCTCCAGCTGTACTCAAGCAGAAGCTCCAGCCTTTCTTTTATCCTATAGCTCCTGATGTGCTTTTTGTTAAGTCTCAGAGTGGTTTGGGTTTTGTTTGTTTGTTTGTTCTTGTCCCTAGGATTTGGGAATCAAATCAGCTCACATGGGGCTTTAATCTTCCCAACCTTAGGCAAACAGATGTGGTACATGCTGTATAAACCTCCTTGGACAGGTGGCCCTCCATTTGTTTACATGTGTCTCTTTAAAATCCAAACCCATTGAAGAGTCATTTATTTATTTCGTACAGTCTGTGAGGCATCTTTATGATACCCTGTAACCTCTTTTGCTCAGTACTGAACTGAGATTAGACTTTCATTTCTAAGCAACCTTCTTTGCTGTCACTTTCCTTTTCTATCTCTAATGTATATTTTTGTGTTTTAATTATTTTTTGTTTTACATTCACATATAGTAGACTTCATTTTGGGGGGAATATAGTTCTGTGTGTTTTGACAAATGCATAGAGTGGGATATCAACCAAGATAATACAAAATACTTACATTGCCTCCAAAACTTGCCCAGTGCTACTCCTTTGAGATTATCCCTGACCTCAACCCCTCATCTTCAACAACCACTGATCTGCATCCTGTCCCTATATTTTTGCCTGAATGTGTCCCTATAGCTTTGTCATATAATGGAATCCTACAAAATGCAGTCTTTGGAATCTGGCTTCCTTCACTTCCCAAACTGCTTTTGAGATTTATTTATGTTGTTGCATGTATCAGCGCTTCATCCTTGTATATGGATAAACTAAAGTTAGTTTAATCATTCACCCATAGAAAGACATATATTTCCAGCTTTTGGCAATTATGATAGAATAACTTTAAACATTTGTGTATATTAAAATATTATTTTCAAAATTTTAATTTGTTCTTTTTATACATGACAGTAGAATATACAAGGTTGGAATATATCTTATTCTAATTAGGATCCCAGTCTTGTGGATGTACATGATAATGAGATTCACTTTAACTTTAAAAAATAGCACATCCAAAAAAAAAACTTTTCTGTATAGGATTTTGGTGTGAACTCAGGTTTTCATTTCACTTGGGAAAATACCTTAAAGTGTATTTCAAAATCATTTAGTAAACATATTTTCTTTGCAATAAGATTTATTATTACCTTCATAAGAAACTACTAAATTATTTTCCAAAGCAGCTATGTTTTTGCATTTCCACCAGCCATGTATGAGAGTTCCAATGTCTCTCTTTATTACTGCCATTTTTTAAAATTTAGACATTCTAATGTTTCTACTAATGATATCTCATTGTGGTTTTAATTTGCATTTTTAATGTCTAATAATGCTCAACACCTTTTCATGTGCTTATTTACCATCAGTACTTTGGTAATATGTCTGTTCATCCTTTGTCCATGTTATAGCTAGATTGTTTGCTTTTTTTACTGTTGACTTTTGATAGTTCTTTTTATATTTGAGATATTAGTCCTTTGTTGGATATGTAGTTTGCAACTATTTTCTACCAATTTGTGCCTTGTCTTTGATCTCTTAATAGTGCCTTTCATAGAGCAAAATATTTTAATTTTGACAATGTCCAACTTATTGACTTTTTATGAATTGCAGTTTTGGTGTTATATTTTAGACTTTTTCGCCTAGTCCTCATTCCCAGTGATTTTCTACTAAGTTTTTTTCCTACAAGTTTTGTATTTTTCTTTTTTACACTTAAGTACATCATCCATTTTGAATTAATTTTTGTATAATTTCTTGTATTAGTTTGTCTTTTCTTTTTTCCCTTTTCTTTTCTTTCTCTCTCTCCTTTCTGTCTTCCTATGAAGTTTCAATTGTTCCAGCTCCATTTGTCTGAAAGGTCCTTTCCTCCATTGTATTGTTTTGGCAACTTTGTCAAAAAATCATTTTGGTACACTGGTGTAGATCTATTTCTGAGATCGCTGTTCTGTCCCATTGATATGTTACTGCCCTTTTACCAACACCATACTGTCTTAATTATTATGATTCTAGCTTACTTTTCTCCTGTTGCTACAGTCCCCCGATGGTGTTACACATTAAATATCCAGGATGGAGAAGCCACATGCTACTCACCAAGGGGAGAAAATTATCACAGTAGCCTAGGTACTCGTTGCGAGCTCTCCTGTGACCGTGGCTTTCGACTGATTGGACGGAGATCAGTGCAATGCCTGCCAAACCGCCGTTGGTCTGGAACTGCCTACTGCAGGCGTAAGTTGCATGTGTGCACATGCTGACATGAGCATGAGAGATGCCAGCCAGTCACTGAGGGTATCTCCCTGGAGGTGTTATTATGCCTTTCTTTCAAGTTTAAATTGGGAATTTTCCAGAGCCCCCCCCCCCCATTGAGGCATTTCCTCATCCTAACATTCTACTTTATTTTCTATTCCTGTAGTTACTGTCTGAGTGATTTGGGCATTTAAGTAACAGCCAGCCCTTCCAACTCAGGGAACTCAGAAGTGCATGTAGGAGGTTGAGGCTTGACCCCAAGGCCTGATGTGGACCTGGGCCTTCTTTTGGAGTTCTGGAGGATATACAGTTTCAGATTCTTTCCCATTTGTGGTCAAGTTCTGTTCTTCCTGGCCTATAGCCTTAGAATGCCTTGCCAGTGAAGCTATGAAACGTCTCTGCTATTATTCATTTTCTTCCGAAAGTCAGAAAGGAGAATCCCTAAGGTTAGGATATAAGGATATTAATAGACACACATCCCAAACCATGTCTCCCTTTAACATCCAAACCCCCAGCTATTATTCAAACTCCATAGTCTACCTCCTTTTAGCAGATGAGCTTTGAATATTCATGTGTCCATCACTGAATACTATTTGTAGGACATCCTGTATTGTATAGGGGGCCTGTATTGGTCACTGCAAGAGCTTACTCAATTCCTCACCTACCCTCAGGCCACTTATAGCCTAATGGGATAGAAATGTGTGCACATGAATGTTGTATACCTGGACGCAGAGGACTGAGCATTCAGAGAAATGAGGTTGGTCAGAGAAGTTGGTGTGGAGTAGAGGAGAAGCCTGATAGCCAGAAAGAAGTCAGTACCATCCTCTGGGTGACTGTAATTAAGTTGTTTTAGGATTTAAACCCCATTATTTCCAAAATAAATTTGAATTGGCCTGACAAATTGAAATAAACAAAGCTATAAATTATAAGCAAGCATAAAACCAGTTAAAAGAACGGAGGCATGCATATTTCCAGGTTCCTAGATTGAGTTGATTATTACATTGAGCATTAAATCTAGCTTTGAGCTTCCTTGTAAGAGACAAAAGGACAAACACTTTGGATCTATTATTTTCACTGTCATATAATACTAAACAAACAAATTCATCTGAAGACACAAACTTTTCTCTTGGCTCTAATTTCAAGGAGATCATTTTTGCATAGGTTTTTACATATCAGATATTGGAAAACAAAAAAGGCAATAAACTTGAAATCTGGTTTGGCCAAGAAACAAAACGAAAGTAGCTTATATAGAATCTTCATTCAAAGTTTCAAATATTCAACTTATGCAGGATTTGAACTAAGACAATCTAAAGAAATATATAGCCCTACTTCTCTTAAGTATCAATTATCACAAACAAGACTTCCACAAACACAGGGTTACAATTATTTCATGGTGGCAGTCTCTGATACACCACGTGGTATCTAAAGCACACAGATTCCTCCTTAATCAAATACCACCACACCTGCCCTTCAGGCACTGGCCTGACTTGTACTATCACATGGACATAAAGCCATCCCACTCTGGCATGTAAGTGAGAAGTGGCTGTGCAAGCATTGAAATGATACTCAAAAGAAGCTTTGAGCATACTCAAGAGCTTATAGCATCTGAGGAACAAGAGATGAAAACTAACAACTGCTGAGGCTCTAAATGAGCCTAGAGGTTTATAGGCATTGTATCTGTTAATTTGTACAACAATGTTGTGAAGCATACACATTTTACAATTTTAAAAAAAAAAACACTGAGACTAATAGAGATTAGGCAATTTTTCAAGTCATAGAGCAAATAAGAGGTAGAGCTGGCATGCCAGCTCAGGTCTGACTCTGAAGTTCAAGTGCTTGGACAGGTAATTTACTTCTTTGAGACACCCCCACCCCCTTGCACATACACCAAGAGTGCTTCTACACCTTGTAATATGAAAATTAAAAAGGCAGTTCAGGGGGAAAGCAGTGTGGCATAAAAATGTAAAGCAGTTTGGGTCAGGTTTCTGTATATTCATTGTCTCTGATATGGTTCTCCATGAGCTAGATGCATCACCTCCAGTTAGTCCCACAGGCCACTGAGCTTGCCACTTGCTTCTCTCTTAGAGATGAGATGTCATGCACTGCCATTCATCACTAGTGGCACCTACAGCTGCACAAATGGAGTGCTTCTTGACTCCCGCTGTGACTATAGTTGTTCTAGTGGCTACCACCTAGAAGGTGACCGCAGCCGAATCTGCATGGAAGATGGGCGATGGAGTGGAGGCGAGCCTGTATGTGTAGGTAAATGCCAGTTGCTCCTATTTTTCCTGCTGCAAAGAGTCATCCTAGCATTATGTCCACAAGCAAAATGGAATTCTAATTGCAAAGATATTCCTGCTCACTATGAAGGGGGCCCCATGAGCACAAGCTTAACAAAATGATTACTTCCCCTAGAGTCAGGCTTCTTTCCCCAGTCTCCCTGAAAACCTTGAACTTTCTACTTACCCAGTGGTGTGTGGTATTGTTTCAATGGGTCCCCTCCAGGGAAGGCAGGGGGCCCACAAATTGACACTTGATTTTTGACCTTCATAGACATAGATCCTCCCAAGATCCATTGTCCCCACTCACGTGAGAAGATAGCAGAGCCAGAGAAACTGACTGCTAGAGTCTACTGGGACCCACCCGTGGTGAAAGATTCTGCTGATGGTACCATCACCAGGTGAGCTTCAGTAACACATGCTTTCCAACAGCATCTCCCAGTCCCTCAGTCTGTTCATATTGAAACTGTACAGGCTGAGACCACAGTGATTATGTTCTTCAGATCTCAATTCTAAGTATCTTTTTCCTCAGTAGCTCCTTCATCCTATCTCAATCAGGGTAACACTTCGGGGCCCAGAGCCTGGTTCTCACTTTCCTGAAGGAGAGTATGTGATTCGTTACACCGCCTATGACCGATCTTATAACCGGGCCAGCTGCAAGTTCATTGTGAAAGTACAAGGTCAGAAGAAAATTCTTCAGTTTTTACATTGTTCATTGTTCCTGCTCTACCCTGAGTTTCTATAAGCCCACGATGACCCTCTCCTCTCTATGCCTGAAACAGGCTTCACCAAAACAGGTTCATTAATGAAGCTTCCATTACATGTACATACAAATGCTACAAAAACTTTGACTCTTTTTTCTTATTCTCCTAAAACTAGATAAAATTCATGAAGATACTCTGTATCCATTTCTTTTCTTTAAAAAAAAATAGTTGTAAATGGACACAATAGCTTTATTTTATTTTTATTCATTGTTATGTGGTGCTGAGGATCAAACCCAGTGCCTCACACATGCCAGGCAAGTACTCTACCACTGAGCCACAACCCCAACTCCCCCATTTCTTTTCTTGACTTTCAAAATTATCAAATCTCATCAATCTTCAATCTGAATCACTCACTTCTTCTGAAACAGGTAGTGTTGTCTACTTGATTCTTCCACCTTTGCTTTGTGTCACATTGGTTTGTTTTGCTTTTCTCATTATAAAAATAATTCATACTCATTACTGGATATCCAAAAAATAAAGAACTATATAAAGTGAAAAAAAAATCTATGACCCCATCATCTAGAGGCAATTGCTATTAACCTTTTGGCATTTCCTTTCCAGTCTTTTCTCTATGCATACTTGACAAACATAATATTGAGATTAGGCTGTGTATTTAATCATGTATCACACTTTTCATTTTTCATTAAAACATATTTTCCATATTCCTTTTTTATTTTATTTATTTTTATGTGGTGCTGAGGATCGAACCCAGGGCCTCCCATGTGCTAGGGGAGCACTCTACCGCTGAGCCACAACCCCAGCTCTCCCATATTCTTTAAGATTTCTTCAGAAATATTATCAATGACAGCATAACATTATGCTCTAAGAATATATCATGATTTGATTAATCCTCCCAGTCATGAACATTTACCACTCTTCCAACTTATTTCTACTATAAAAAGTAATTCTGCAAGGTGTTCATATTCATACAGGGCATCATAGTATCTGTAAACATAGATGACAATATTTTCTTTCACAGATTCATAGTTTTTTGAAGACAATGTATATATTAACCGGTGTTTCTAATCTCTGTTTATATTTCAAATTTAATTCCTTAAGAAATGAAAATTCTTGCTCTATCTCCAATCATTGGAAATATAGAAAATCATCCTGATTATCTCAAGTCTCTTGTTCTAGAAAGCCCAGAGTAGGCACCTTCTAGAAACACCATAATCCCTAACTTGAATTTCTCCCTGACAGTGAGACGCTGCCCAGTTCTGAAACCACCGCAGCATGGCTACCTCACCTGCACCTCAGCAGGCGACAACTATGGTGCCACCTGTGAATACCACTGTGATGGTGGTTATGAGCGCCAGGGAACCCCCTCCCGGGTCTGCCAATCCAGTCGCCAGTGGTCGGGATCACCACCTATCTGTACTCGTGAGTGAAATCAGGAAATGGGAAGAGTTAATCAAGGGTACTCTGGAGGATTCCCCCATAGCTTAGGGGTCTAATAGTGATGTGAATGATGCGGGAATAGGGTCTTCTGAGACACATCTATTATGAGGGGCAACATTCCACCTAGAATATGCCTACCCCAAGAAGAGTTTAAAATCTCCAAGTTTCTTTCAGGATTTCTTTCCAGGGAAGGGAGAAACAACCAGAAAGATTAATTCAAAAACTGGAACTCCTCAAGATGTTAGCATTACCCAATCAGTGTGAAAGAAAAGGACAGTCTCTGACTGACCGTCTGCATCTGCCCTAGCCATGAAAATTAATGTCAATGTCAACTCAGCTGCTGGCCTCCTGGATCAGTTCTATGAGAAACAGCGACTCCTGATCATCTCAGCTCCTGATCCCTCCAACCGATATTATAAAATGCAAATCTCTATGCTACAGGTAAGGCCCACTCCCCTAAAGAGGACTTAGCTCCTTTTTTTACCTTCTTATCTTTCTCAAATCAAATTATTGCTTTCTGCAGCACAAATCCCACTTCTTCAAACTTTTACTTGGTAGCATTTGATCAGTTATATCCTAGATGTATTTAGTAGATTGCTAAAACCTGCTGTGCTTTTACTGAAAAGGCAACAAGGCCACTGAAGTAGTAGATGTGACTTTTGGGGGACTGGGTGAAGGTTGGGAAGGGAGTGTGACAAAGCACTCTAGAGAGACTTATAAGACAGATAAGATCAAATGTCAATTCTAGGAGTTAAATCCATTTGTGTTTTCAAGGAATAATAGCACTAAGGAACACTTAGATCAGAACCTGGTTCTGATCTACATGTTTTGCATATACTCATCTAATTCTCACAATAGTCCTTGTAAGGTATATGCTATTATAATCTCCATTAAATAGGTGGGGGAACTGAGACATAGTGAGATTAAGTGATTTACTCAGAGTCACTATATAGTAAGTGGTACACCTGGGATTGAACCCAGGCAGTCTAGCTGCAGTGTTTGTGCTCTCAACCACTACCAGTAGGACAGTGATTGTGATATCTCAAAGTAAAAATAAAGTTGTACGATGATTGTGTTAGCTTTGCATCGCTATGACTGATTTAGCAAATTAAAGTTTATTTTAGGATCATAGTTTCAGGGGTTCAGTTCATAGTTGGCCTACTCCATTGCTCTGGGCCTGAGGTAAAGCAGAACATCATGGAAAAAGGGCAAAGCAGAGGAAAACTCCTCAGCTCATGGCATCCAGGGAGCATGCAAGCAGTTACAGGGAAACAGGGACAAAAATATATAACCCCCAAGGGCACATTCCCAGTTACCTACTTCTTCCAGCCACATTCTACTTGCTTACAGTTACCAACCATATAGTGGTCCTTTCAAATTATTCATCCATCAAATGGATTAATTCACTGATTAGATTATGGCACTCATAATCTAATCATTTCACCCCCTGCCTTAACATAGGAGCTTTTTTCGGGGGATACCTCATATCCAAACCATAACAATTATTTTTAACATACTAAGAGATACCTAGCCAAACTCACTACTGGGGAAAGGAGAGGTAAATAGGACAGAATAGATATGACCATGAGGACTTATAAAAAGAACACACTAGGTTGCTAAAGACAATGTTCTGACATGACTAAGTGGCTCTAGGGAGCTTCAAGGGGCCAAATATTTAGGTAAATTAAGCAGCTATTTAGGGGTTTCCTAAAGGTTGAATCATAGAAGTTGTCAAGTCAATGTTAAGAGGCCCATGACGGCAGCAGTTTAGCCAAAAAGGTGAACCTGGGAGTCTAGACCAAAAAGGACCTTATATCTCCATGGATCCAAAAAATAAAACAGACAAAATCAACAGTTTAGTTTAATGGGAAGCAAGAAAAAAAAGGAATCTGCCAGCAAGGACAGTGACTTTGAGGTCAGGATGAGAGGAGGAGATCAAAGGCAAAACAGATGCGGGGCACCAGGGAATGTTCAATACTACTTTAAGCCTCATTCTGGCAACTGGCTAATTGGAGACCTTACTGGACAAAGCAGGACAAAGAGCCAGTATAGGTAGGGTTACAGGAGTTTGCTACCCAGTGTAAAGAAGGCAATTAAGGGGATAAAGACCACTGGCCATTATTTTGGATAAATCGACTGAGAGAAGGCCCTGGGATGTAGCCTAGTGATAAAGAGGACATACTTGGGTAAGTGGTATAAGTCCTCAGTCTGAATCTTTGCTCATCATCTTATTGTCATACAAATTTGGGCAAGTTACTTTTGCCTCTTCAGAATGACACCACCTACCTTGTTAGGTCTATTGTAAGGATTAAATTAGTTGATTTCTACAAAGTATTAAATAAATGTAAATAAATAAGAAACAACAGTCATTATTATCATATCACAATAGCCATCCATTAAGAACCTAAGTAGTTTAAAACCTATGAAAAGCTAAGCAATGATTGATTATGTTCCCGCAGTAGCAGCTTAATAATTATGCTTCTCTTTTCTATTCCTCATTGTATAACCAGTTTCATACACTTCAGTAGAAGGAATGGAACAATTTTGTAGGACTGATGGAAGGAAAAGGTTTTGTAGATCTCATATTGTGATCAGTGTGATCCTATGATTGTGTGATCCTATGATTGTGTGATCATTGCAGGAGAAGCCCCCTCCTGTCCCACACTGCCTCATGTGGTCCCAGAAGGAATCAATCAAGTAGCCTGAGATTTGAGGGCAAAGGCCTGTTCCATTAAATGTTCTCTCCCTCTTCCCAGCAATCCACCTGTGGACTGGACCTGCGGCATGTGACCATCATTGAGCTGGTGGGGCAGCCACCTCAGGAGGTGGGGCGCATCCGGGAGCAACAGCTGTCAGCCAGCATCATCGAGGAGCTCAGGTCCAGGCTGGGAGGCTATAGGTTGGGGATGGGCAGAAACCCTAGGCAGGACACTAGCAACAGAGGGTTGTGACAAAACTACTCTCTTGAATTACTTCTTGTGTTTGAACTCTTATGGATGCATATAGGTAAGACCAGAGAGTGATTCTTAACACTGGCAAGGCATGTGAATCAAATGGGGCTTGAAAATGCAATTACCAGGCCCCACCTTTGTGGTTTTTTATAATGGCACCTCAGGTAACTTTGAAGCACAGTCAGGACTGAGACAGTTAACCCAAACTTGACTCATAGCAGCCTGAGATCCTGTTGCTTCATGACTTTCTCTTTTTACTGTCTGTCTCCAAAAGGCTTCTTAAGGCACTAAAATCTGAATCATATCCATCAGCCCATAGGGAAGAGGTTAGAAGTGACAGGTGGTAGAAGTTGACTTTTCTCATCATCTATACATTATCAGCCTTCCAGTGCTTCCACATATACTCAGGGACAGTAAAGCCATCTGTGTTGTCTGTTCTAGAAACAATACCTGCCTCCAGGGCTCAATATTAGTGGGGATATTCAGTCTCAATTAGAAAGACTAAGAAATACTCAGAGGAAGGACACTGCAGACTTGCCGCCTTGGATGGAATAGTTAATCAGGTAGTATTTATCACCTTCAGGGTTGCCATGTATAATGTGCATGTGTATCATCATGTCTATGATGGGCACCCCCTGGAGTTTTTCCATGCAGGATTCTTAGTCCTGCTTAAAGGAGTCTACAATAGAAGCACAGCCTAGTAATAACAAAGTTGCCCCAGCTGGGATGAGGAAGGGAGAGCTTAGCAGTGCTAAACACATAGAATCAGCAAGATTTGGACTTTAGCAGAAAAAAGCAAAGAAACTTGAGATAGATAGGTAGTAGAGGGGATGGAGATGGGATTTGGGAGGGACTAGTCCATCAGTGGAGCTGTGAAAGATCAGAGGGTAGTAGAGCCCTGTGGGACAAATGCCCAGACAAGTCTCACACCTTCCTGGGCTGCTCTCTCTAGGCAATTTCAGCGCCTTACTCGCTCCTACTTCAATATGGTGCTGATTGACAAGCAGGGTATTGATCGGGAACGCTACATGGAACCTGTAACCCCTGAGGAAATCTTCACATTCATTGATGACTACCTGCTCAGCAACCAGGAACTGATCCAGCGCCGGGAGCAAAGGGATGTCTGCGAGTGAACTTGAGCCAGGGCAAGGTTGATGTCAAGGGAAAATTACCCTAGTTAGCTGAAACTGAGGCCTAATAAAAGAAAGAAATGGTTTCCCACAGTTCTAGGGACAGGATTCTGAGGTGAGTGAGGTTTGCCAATCCAGAGATATTTCTAGACATCATTTTAGGACTGTGCCATAGTTTCCGTAAGCAAGTCTATGCTTCAGTTAGCACTGGAGGAGACTCTGAAGCTAAGCAGGGACTGAGTACAGGCTTTGAGCAGTGCATTGGGGATAGGAAGTCTTCATTTCCTAACCCGGGCCTCTGCCCTGCTCTCCAAAGTCTTTCAGATAAGTAAATTCTAAATTGATTCACTTACCAGTTGTGTTTTAAATGCTTCCTATACCCAGAGGTGACAGCAGAGGGCAGCACCATTGCAAAAGACATCCAGTACACTTCAAGAAGTGTAGCTGCATTTTCCTTACAATTTAACTATCTCTGTGGCTGGGATGGGATGGCATGGATCTACAAAACATTATTGAACATATTTGTCATTTCCCCTTGTAGGGCATTGGGCTAAAAATATTGTTTGAACTATTGCTTCATCGAGAGTTACAAAAACATTGCCATGGGAGGGAGTTTGGGAAGAAATAGCTAGTCACAGCATAATGCTGTCTCCTGGCCCTTCCAGCTGGCTCACAGGCAAGAACCTCTATCTACTGAGGCCTCCATTCCCCATAACAAAAGGTAGACAGTATTGTTCCTTCATTAGGGGAACCTCCTTCCCATTCCATGATCTAGGGTACTTCAAAACTACCACTAAAGATAGTAGGGAAAGAAAGCAGACTCCACCTCAGGTATTAACTTCCTCGGATAGCCACAGAGCAGGTGGGATCTACAGTGGCACAAAGTCAAGTCTTAAGGAGCAGGCCTGAAAGTAAATTGAGGATGGGTTATTGGGCTTTTAGAAAATGGAGCCCCAGAGTCCTGGTTTTTGTTTCGTATGTATATGTGTGAGCTAGGAGATGAACCCATGGCCCTGCACAGACTATGCATGCACTCTACCATGGAACTACATCCCCAGCCCCAGATTCTTCTTCAGTCCTACCCAATGGGGTGTCAATGTTTGAAAGAAAAGTGTTCTTCCCCTTCCTGTTGAGAACCTTCTTTTATAAGTTCATGGAATCCATAGTCATAATTAAGACTAAGCAGTCTTTTCCTTTGATTTTAACCAGGGGTCATCAATGGAAAGCTAGAGGGTAGAGGAAATAGGCTGGCTGGGAGGCTCAAGCATTCACTATGTGCCAGTGCCATTCTAAATACCCTACTGATTCACTCTGAGGTCTTCACAAGAAACCTATAAGGTAGGAACTGTTATTACCTCCCTTTTACAGATGAGAGAATTGAAGCTCAGTGAGGATAGGCAATCTACCTAAGATAACTAATAAGTGCCACTTATTAGTGACAGAGTCAGCATTAAAACAATAGCAGTCTGGCTCCAGAGTCAATGTTCTTAGTTTGCCATCTGGCTTCTACTTCTTTTTCTACTCCCCATTTAAAGTCAGTTGAACACTCTAAGCAAGAAAGTTTCCATCTTCTAAAATCCTACTCAGATACAAGACTCAGAGTAGTCCCTGGAGGAAAGAGGGAAATGAACATCTTTCCACCCAAGAAAATTTGCTCTTTAAAGCAGAGTGATAGGACATAAATCATGAGTCCAGAACATATGGGGGTAGTAGTGAGTCAGAGAGAAGCTATTTCCACTGGGGGTTTAGTGGAAATCTCATTTTCAAAATGCAAAATAAAATGTTAGGCAGCTTCTGGGTGGAATGGAACATGGAAGAAATGATCAAACTTGGAACAAAAAAAAAATCCCTTCTTCATCTTCCCTTCAGGGGAATACAGAAGCTTTGAAAGGCCAAGGGCGAGTTATGGGTAGAAGGCAAAATACAATGAGTTCATGTGGGGAATTTCTGGTTAGACAAGGTCTGTGGTTCCAAAGGCAAAGATTGCACACTGGAGAAGATAAATGCCCTTCCTTGTCTTTATCACTAATATTCCAAGTGGCAAGCCAGGATAGACTGCAAGCCAAAGGCCCAACAGATAACAGAGGGGGCTCATTACTCCCTGAGCAGAGTTCCCACCTGGGCCTGATTCTTGCATGTAAATGCTTCTCTAGCTTAAAACAACTAAAGAGCTATAATTTCATTTTGAGTAGTCAAAACAAGTCAATCTTGCTTTCTTTCGCTAGTTTTACTATAACCTCCTTTGTAGATTATGACTCAAGAAATCCCAACTCCTAAAGCAGGGGAAAGAGATTGAAGTAGGGTTGGGGTTGTGACTCAGTAGTAGAGTGCTTGTCTAGCATATGCGAGGCCTGGGTTCCATCCTCAACACCACATAAAAATAAATAAATAATTTAAAGAGAGAGAGAGAGAGAGAGAGAGAGAGAGAGAGAGAGAGAGAGAGAGAGAGAGAGACCAAAGCAGAACCAGGCCCACAGCCAGCCCAAAGGGACTAGCAAGATCCTGATATATACATATCTCTATTTCTCTCTTTAAACCTCTCTGGGGACACACATACATACACATACACACACACACACACACAGTATAAAGTCACTAAGCTGGCTAAGTAATAACCAAAACATTCTGATTTTTCTATTTTGTAAATTAAACCCATATTTTAGAAGAGATGAGTCATCCCTTCCTTTGATTCTTCCCATAACACACATACCATTCTCACATGCTTCAGTAGACTCAGACCTTGATTCGAATCTCAATTCTATCATAAGGACTCAAGTTTCCTCATCTGTAGGAAGGGAAGATTTCATACTGCATATGGTATAATAGAAAGATCAATATATAAAGTCTTATATCAAAAGGCATTTGATAAATATTAATACCTTTTTGCACAAGAGATCAAGAATCACTTGGCCTCTACCTAGAAACCCAGAGCCTAAATTCAGAGATGGGTTACTTAGCATCTGTGTTATTTATTTCTCAAAACTAAATGATGGGGACCTGGGGTTGTGGCTCAGTGGTAGAGCTCTTGCCTACTATGTGTGAGGCACTGGGTTTGATTCTCAGCACTGCATATAAATAAATGAACAAAATAAAGGTCCATCAACATCTAAAAAATATTTTAAAAAGACCTCAATGATGGTAGTAGAAGCAGAGGAAGAAGTCCCCAATTCCCAGAAGAATTGAAGAATCTAGAAAGAAGTGCTTATAACAGGGAATGTGTTTCTTCAGCTCCTATGTGAACATCTCTCCCCTACTCTAGCAAGGGAGGATCCATAAAGCCAAAGGTGGACTTCCCTTGGTACTTGAGAAATAGAAAAGTGGTGCCTCTTTTAAGATGGATTTTTAGTTCTCTCCGTAGATACCAAACATACAGGACAAGGGGTTCAAACCCAGGAAAAGTATCAGGCAGCAATGTGGAGAAAGGCAAATTTTCTTCAAATCAGCATATGATGATTAGGGAAAGGCATTTGTCACTCTGGTTCTTACCCTTCAAGCCACGTGTAGAAAGGAACAATAGTAAGTCAGGACATCATACACAAAGGCTTCCACAGAACTAATGAATGAAAACATTTGACAAGTCAGAAAGCTTTATTGAAGCACACATTCATTTCAAGGGTGGGAAACAAAAGAGCAAGTTACAACACAGGATCTCAAGTTATGCTTTTCATTACAGTGTCAATCCACACCAAACAAACCTTTTAAAACATTCCTCAGTTTAGTTCACACATGCAATAGAAACTGCCATACCTGCCCTCCTCAATCCAGTGGCCTTATAGGACCATCAGCTAGCAACTGCCTCTACTGAAAGGGATTTTTTCTGGTATAGGCTCCTTCTACACACAAATTTGTGTGGAATAAACTCATATGAATAAAAAGGTCAGTTTGTAAGAGTATAAGAAAGTGAAAGTTATTTTACCAGAACCCTCTTCAAAAAGCCTCAACACTACCACACCCATGTTACATGTAGGTCAAGTTGAGGAAACAATAGAAAAAATGGGAGCTGAAACTACATCAGATAGGAGGTCAGAATAACTGGGAGATTCTCTATCCACGTTATCTTGGAGTACTAACAGTCCCCAGTCTGGGCAAGCACTGTGCCATTTTAGATAGTCTTTAGCTCTTCTGACTGATACAGAGGTATGTGGACCATATTCTGCAAAGCAACACATCTCAGACACAAACACTGAGGAAGATGTGGTACATGAGTGAAGATGTCTCATCTTTCATTAGAGAAGTGAGTTCTCTCTCAATTAACTGCTGTTATCAGTTTAAAATTCTGAGACATCAGTATGAGCTGTGAAACACTTTACCCTCAGACATGCAAGTCCTCTGGGATCAGCCAGAAGGTCTCACTGGGCATGTTCATGACTCCGTCAAAAGGCCATTATCTAATTAAAGTGCTTTTCTAAACTAACTCCATTATAAGGATTCCCCAGAGGTCTAGTAAAGGCATATAGAACTGGAAGGAGCTGGGGAGTTTTCTTTTCATTTCAAAGAAAACCATACACCCAAGCAAGGTGAAAACTACTTAACAAGAAGACAAGTTAAAAGCCAAGTTCCAGAAAATTATCCAGGTAGAACATGAATTAAAAGTATAAATTAGAGAGAAGGAGAAGACCTATTTACCTCTCTCCCATATTGCCCTGTCTTTAGCGACCCAAAACTGCTTCCTAGAACCTTAGCCTCAGATCAGGTACACCTTAAACTACAGACTAAAACTAATGCCAAAGGTAGCCAGGGCTCCCTGGAGAAATAAGAACAAAAATATTAAGACAGAAAATAGAAAGTTGTTTTAAAAGGTTTTTAAGTTAATTAAATCTCATAATGATGGAAGAAAGAATGGACTCTGAAATATACTAGATTGTGCACAAATAAAAACATTTCAAAGAGGCCCTTTTTCTTGAGCCTGCTTTTTAAAGGGGAACAAGGCTGCATCACTCTAGCTAGCATAAGATTTGCAGAAATACGTGCTTGTACATACACATCCAACACACACACATATTAAATTAGAAATATTTGCTCTTAGTTTTGTCACTTCCTCTGATTTGCCCTGGCCAGGGCTGGACCTGTAGAATATGACAAGAACTCATAAACCCAGCTTCTGCTTGGCCATTGAAGAACGGAGTTGCAGAGTCCCTTCAGCCCAAGACCCTGGGTACTGTCGCATCTTCTGCCACAGGTTCACTTCTTCCCCAGTCGAGTCCATCCAGTCCACCACTTCCCCATTACTGATCCCTGAGGAGAAATACCAGAGAAGGCTGACCAGAGACCCCACTGCTTGACTCATCAATGATGGGTCATACAGCAAGGGTAGCTGCTCCAAAGAAAATGTGCTATGAAAATGGACTGATGGGGACAGCAATCTGAGAAGTATTCCCTATCGATCCTGCTCAGATATTTCTGTGCTCCTGAGACTATAAGGAGATTTTGGGTTGATGAAACAGTACTACAAATACCACAGGGTCACTAGAGACTTCTTATTCAGAGGATGATACAGAGCTCTGGTGTCTGGTGCCAATGCCAGAGCATTTGTCCTTCTATTATTTCCAAATGGATTTGAATTTTTAAAAATCTGAACAACTTTTTCTCTAGCTGTAGACTCCAGCCTAAAGTTAGATGTGGCATCATTCCTATTCTTTTGTCCATTCATCCTTTTAATAAATATTTACTGAGTACCTACTATGTGCCAGGTATTCTTATAGCCTCCGGAGATACAATGATGAAGAAAGCAGAAAAATCACCCTGCCTTCAGGCAGCTTTAATTTGAATTAAAAAAGAAAATTAACAAAAGATTGTGAGGATAATGTTATGAAGTAAATCAGCAGGGGGATTTAGAGTGTCTGGATTAGGACCTACTGTAGAACGAATGGTCTGAGGAACTCTTGGTGAGTTAAGACCTAAAGGATAAGAAGCAGCCAGTCTTTCCAGACAGAAGAAACAATAATTTCAAAGGTTCTGAGGTGGAAATGAGCTTGGTATATTTGGAGAAAAGAACTAAATTAGCATGGTTGGAGCACTGTGAGCAGGTGGGAGAGTGATATGAGAAGGATCAGAAAGAACAGAGGGTCCATATTATACCAGGGCTTATAGGCTTGGTATACACCCCTATTGTTTTATAAATATGATAACAAGTCACTGAATAGTTTTAATCAGGAGACTGACATGCTTAGCTTATATGTGTAAAACACCATTCTAGATGCTTTATGTTAGTTATTAATAAACAAGTAATATTTAAGGTCATGGGAATGCAGATTGTGGAGAGAGAAAAGAAGAGGACCTGAGACTAAGCCCCAAGAAATACTTGTATTTAGATTTTGAGTATAGAATGAGGAACCCACAAAGAAAACTGAGAAGTGAAAATCAGTTCGTTGAAAAGGAATCAAAGAGTATAAAATCAATAGAAGTATTTCAGGAAAAAGGGAGTGATCTTCTATGTTAAATAGTGCTAAAAATTCTAGTGAGATGAAAACAATACTTTGACATGCAAACAAAGAAAAGTTGAGGAAGTAGAAACCATTATTTTTAAGAAATTAGAGAGGGGACATGTAGTCAAGAAAAGGTTTATTTTTATTTAATAAGATTTGGAAACACCAGAGCATATCTGTATTCACCTTCAACAGGTAGGGAGAATGAAACTTACCATATGGGAGAGATGGAGATTACAGAAGTGAGGTCATTGAGAAGGGGAGAGGGTGGTACAGAACACAGAGAGAGATTAGCTTTTACAAGTGAGAACCTTTTATTCATTGTAACAGGATAGAATATGGCATTATACATATAGATATATAGGTAGGTTTGTAGATTGTGTGTGTTTGTGTGGTTTGTAGATTGTGTGTGTGTGTGTGTGTGTGTGTGTGTGTGTGTGTGTAAGGATGATGGAGTTCCTGGCTATCAGCATCACATTTATCTATATACATAATATCAATGAGTTCTGCCTTGCTCTAGGCCTGGCACATAGAATGTACACAACAAATATTTGTTGAGTGTCATCTGAAAGGAAAGAAGATAAGTCCCATCATAGAGGAGCTTTGTGTTTCTGGGGGTGGGAGGTGCTGGGAGTGAAATAGATAAGAGACAACTGAAGATGGAGGAAGAAAACTCTCACCAGTGCCAACACCTAGTCTGACCCCTCCCAGGAAATCATTGCTGGCCAGGGGCTCCCGGTCCCACACAGTAAGTTCCAAGCACATGTGTTGTAGATCTTCCAGCCTCACACCATTGTAGACAAATGTATGGTTGTAGTGGGGATTCAGGGTCTTCTTCATCACTGGAGTTTTACGCTTGCTGGCCTTGTTCCTCGTAGGAAGGAGGTATCTGGCAGAGGGTGGGGAATAATCAACACCTACTCAAAGCTTGGCAGTATGTGTCTAAATTCCTCTTTCCCCTACCACAAGCCTAGCCCAGGAAGGTGAGTCAACACCTAGATCCATGTGCATGCACCCCTCCTTTGAATCTGTTGAAGCAGAGTTCCTCCTCTCCCCACTAGATACTTCCCCTGATTTAATTCCTTTAACTTGGAGAGAAAATGAATATATTATTAGTCAGGCTTTGTCTATGCTCTACCAAAAATGAGTTTTATATATTTGCTTCCATTCCTCCTATGCAAGGTAAATAAAACAAATAGTAATATCTATTGATCTGGATTGGTTTGGTTTGACTTAGCTGAACATGATTTGCCAGAAAGCATGAGTCAGTGAGTGACCTATAATTTGGAGGGAGCTAGCATTGCTTAAAAATTATGGGGAACAAAGCACTGAGTCCCCATATCTAGTCAGGGAATACAGATTCTTACCTAGGAATAATTAAGAACATGAATCAGAAAAAAGTCAGAATCTATCTGTCTACCACCCTCTTTGTATATTAGCACCACAGCACAGTCCAAACTGAGTTCAGGCCAGTGCAAAGGTGGTAGTGGAGGTTTTTACATTACCTAATTTCAGAAACATAGTTGGTTCCTGAGGGTGGTAGGACACATAAGCAGAGTAACAACAGGGGAAGGTCAATTGGATTTCTCTGTTAACTATCTTATCTTGAAACTTCCTAGTTTGGTGCTGGTCCAGGGACTCACCCCTTGACAAAGCTGTCTGAAGTCCCTCCTGATTTGGCAGCTGTCAGATTCTTAGCTTCTTTGATCCATACCTGGAGCTCTCCCCCTTCACCACCTTTATCTGTAAGGAATGTTAGATATAGCAAGTGAGCCCCTGTACCTCCAGGTTTATCTTAAGATTGATCTGCATAGTCCTGAAGGTAGCAAGATCCATAAAACAACTGAACCATGCCTGACTTGTACTCTCAGTAACTAGCACAGTGCCTATAAGCAGTAGGTCCAACCTATAGCAATAAACACTTATTGAAAACTGGCTAGTGCCAGACACTACCTTAAGCATTTAATTCTCAAAACAATCCTATGAGATACACACTATTACTATCATTTTATAGATGATAAAATTGAAGCTTGGAGAAATAAAGTTTCCTGACATTTGCTGAATGATTTTAAAAAGAGCTGGGTTTGGTGGTGTACTTCTGAAAGCTGAGGCAGGAAAATGACAAATTCCAGGCAAGCCTTGGCAATTTATCAAAACCCTGCCATGTAGTTCAGTGTAGAGCACACTTGGTACAAAAAACATACAAAAATGAATGAAATAATTAAAAATTACAAAAAAGAGAATCCCTCTGTTTGACTTCTTGATCCCATCCTTACTTCACAGATCTAATCAAGCAATATCAATCAAAACCCCCATCACCACTTTAATATTTCTTCCTCTACTGATCCCTTCCCCTCAATCTAGATATATGCTAATTTCATGTCTTCTTTATTTAAAAATCCACTTAAAAGAAAACCTCCCCTCAACCTTATCTCTTCTTCCTCAGGCTATTCTCCATATCTCTCTTTTCTTTCACCATCAATCACCCTGGAGGGGAAAAGCCCACATTTACCACCTCTATTTCTTTGCCTCATGCACTCAACCTAGTTTCTAGTGAAATCTGGTTTCTGCTTCCATGAATCAGTTGAAAATGCAATGAAATACCAATGAGCTGTGTCTTCTCAGTCCTCATCCAGCCTGAGCTCCTTGTAGTATTTTAGTACTGTTAATACTATCAACAACCCCGCCCTTTTCTTCCTGAATCTCTCTCCTGAAGTTTCTCTCTCAATAAACCCTACTTCACTGACATTTATTCCTCTCTTATCTAACTGTTGCTGTTCCCTGTGGTTACTTTCTTGCCTCTCATCTCTAGTCATTCTGCACACCCTCCTCCCAGACCTCATTGTTTCCTCAAATCTTCTAGATTAGCCCTTGCTGGAGGTATAATTTTAAGAACTCTGATTTCCCATTGCCAACAAATCAAGTTGAATTTACATTCAAAGCCCTTCTCATTGGGACTTGTCTCCAATCCCAGCCCCAGTCCCAAATAGACAAATATATACCATAACTCCAGCCCCACTGAATGAAGTCATTTACTCCCCAATATTCACACACAACCACACATTTCTCAGGCATTTTTAAAACCTATGCTCATGCTATCCCGTCTTCGGGGTATGTTCTTGTCTCCTTGTCCTCCCTCTTTTTCTGCCTGGCAAAATCTGAAGATCTAATTTCAATGTTAATGCTTCTTCAAAGCTTTCCTAAATGTAACTAGATAGAATTCATCACTCCTGTATCTGGGCGCCTTTTAGCACATGACTATCTTTCTTGCTAAGCTAACTGCCTCAAGGGAGAGCAAATATTATGTCTTATTCATCTACATGTCTGTAGTCACTAGCATACTGCTTGGCAAATTGGATAATTCTTCCTCACAGCCTTCAACTTCCTGTTTTTCATACTTTATTACCCTTTCCAACCACCATTCTCAGCCTCTAAGGTTTTGTTGTCGTTTGCCCTCTTAGCATCTTGCCATAGCTGGACCAAGACCAACTTAGTTTAATATCCTGAAAAATAATTTTACAAAATGAATGCCAAGGCCTGGGGTTGTAGCTCAGTGGTAGAGCGGTTGTCTCGCATGTGTGAGGAACTGACAAAGGTTTGATCCTCAGCACCACATAAAAATAAAAATAGAGATTCTTTTTAAATGAACACTAACCCTAAAACATGTAGAATATATACCTTTTCTACATTCTGGATGAAAATGTAGAAAAACCTTCTAGGGAAGAAGATCCAGGGAAGATCCCAGTCTAGTCTCTTCAACAGTGCCAGCACCAGTCTCATACAGATCCTGTGCAGAAGACTAAGAGCTAAATCTGGGGCCCCAAATAAAACTCACTTTTTTTCCTGTTGCCTCCAGCAGGGAGTTTGGAGGCTGGGATGTATTTCAATGAAACCACCAACTCTCCTTTGTGTAATGGTACACCAGTTGAAGACTCACCACTGATCTGAAACACAGGGAAACCCAACAGGTCAAGTCAGACTTCTCAGGAACTGTAGGGACTTCCCCCTGAAGGGATACTAAAAATATCCCTGAAGAATAGCTTCATGGCATAAGAGGATCCTTCTACTTCTGGATATAATCCAGGGTCCCTAGGCCATGTTCGCCACAGGCTTCTAAGGCAATTTCTTCCAGAAGAGAGGTAGAAGAACCAACAAAGGCTCTTCTACAATACTCACTATTGTGCCACTTTGGGAATACAATTTCCAGATTCTAATACTCTGGCCAGGCATGGTGGCACACACCTGTAATCCCAGCAAATTGGAAGGCTGAGGCAGGAGGATTGCGAGCTCAAAGCTAGCCTGAGCAATTTAGAGAGTCCCTAAGGACTTAGAGAGACTCTGTCTCAAAATAAAATGTGAAAAAAAGGGGTGCTGGGGGTGTGGCTCAGTAGTTAAGAAACCCTAGGTTCAATCCCCAGTACAAAAAAAATCAACCAATACTCTAAAAGGTCTGCCAGCACAGTTGCCATACAAACTCAGAAAGGATTGACACCATGATGAAGAATCTTGCTATCAGAATGGTCATTAATAGTCCCAAAGTGGAAACAATCAAAATATTAATCAATATAGTAAGGATTCAATGAGTGATTTTAATGCCTTCATGTGGCATATGGCATACAGTATTGAGAAAGTATGTAGACTTTGAAGGTGACAACTATGTCTGATGACCCAAGTATAAGTAAAGTAAGGTGGAGTGCCACTGCAGAAAAGAAACTACTCCTTTGGCTAACACCTTGAATGTGGACGTCCTGGGACTATCTGACAGGTTAAACCAGGAGTTACTTGGATGATTCTGGCTACAACTATATATCTTGGCTATGTGTCTATTGTCCCTTTATAGAAAATGATTTTTTCAGGTTAGATCTTAGCTGTAGGTAAGATGTACTTAATTATATGTCTACAAAATGTCTAACTTTTTAACTATTGGTTAAAAAGAAACCAAATTTTGTGATTTCATTTTTATTCTAACAAAAAGGAATACTGACATGTAAAGATCCCAAGACATACTATTAAGTCAATAAAGCAAGATGCAAAAAAAAAACTCACTCGTATCAAAATGTACTCATGTGAATATATACATATACAAATAACGATGATTATCATCATCACTTTTTAAATATTTTTTTAGTTGTCAATGGACCTTTATTTGTTTATATGTGGTGCTGAGATTTGAACCCAGTGCCTCACACATGCTAGGCAAGCGCTCTACCACTGAGTTACAACCTCAGCCCTATTATCATCACTTTTATAGCACTTATAATGTGCCGACACTGTTACAAGCTTTTTTAAAAAATCATTTTGTTTGATCCTCAATACAGTCTCTATAGAAATGAGTTTATTATCCCCATTTTACAGGCTATGGAACAGAGGTATCAAGTAACTTGCCCAAGGTCACACATCTAATAATTGGCAGCACCAGGATTCAAATTCAGGCAGATTGGATCCAGAGTCAATGCTTTTAATCATTATATACTGCATAGTAAAACCCAGAAAGATCTGGACAAACATTTGTTTCTTCTAGGTAAGGTAGCAAAATGGGGAAAGGAAAGAAGAATTTTCCTTTTTATTCTATATTGATTTCTACAGTGTTTTTAAAAATGAAAATGGCATGTATCACTTGCATGGTTTTTAAATACAAAAGGTATTTTTAAAAAAAAAAAAAAAAAAAAAAAGGGCATGTGGCATGAGAGTACACAGCCCAGTGGCAGAGAGCTCACCTAGCATGCACAAGGTCCTGGGTTCCATCCCAGCACCAAAAAAATAAAAGTGAGCTTAGAGACATTTGAGAGCAAGGTAGAACTCTGTCACAAGGTTCAAATATGCTGTATTTTCTAAAAATATGTATTATTATATTAATATTAATATAATATTATATTTCTTAACATTTGTCTCTACCATTAAAACCTAGATGCCATGAAGACAAGTTTCAAGTCTATTTTTGTTCATCCTAGTATGTCCAACCCTTAGTCAAAGTACCTGGGTGGATGGGGTTGTGGCTCAGTGGTAGAGCACTCACCTTGCACATGGAGGCCCTGGGTTTGATCCTCAGCACCACATAAAAACAAATAAATAAAATAAATGTATAAAAAATTAAAAAGTACCTGGTACATAGTAGGTACTCCATAAGTATTTATTTAATGAATTTATTGAGTGAATGAATGCATATCTGGGATGAGTAGCCTATCATCTCTGGCTTTGAGTGGCAGAATTGTTTTACTTTTTTTGGATCTTTCTACAAGAATCTCTTCTTTATGATTTGGCTTTCAGACCAGGAGCTCCTACAGACAGGAGGTACTCTTTCACCTGCTGGTATTCATTAGGGCTCCTTTTAACTATGCCCTCACCACTGAGCATAACCTATGGGGATTATGCTTTCCTACCATCTTAAACACCTAAAGCATTTGGCATGCAAGTCATTATCTCAGTTTGGATCAATGTAACACATATCCAGAATACACAAAGTTTAGTATATGAGAGAGATACAGAAGAATTGGGAGAGATATGCCAGCAAGACAAAATGGAATGGGAACAAATGAATTGTTGGGGCAAAAAAGAAAAAAAGAAAAACCCAAAAACAACAAATGTAGAATGTTTTAAATTAAAAGAGAGGCCTGGGGTTGTGGCTCAGTGGCACAGTGCTTGCATAGCATACACTGGGTTAGATTCTCAGCACCACATATAAATAAATAAAAATAAAGGTCCATCTACAACTAAAAATATATAAAATAAAGAAAATATATAATATGGGGATGATGTTTTGTTGTTTATAAAATGTCTACAGAACTTATTAATTTCTAAATTGTAAACTTCAGTGCCCTTAAAAATGGAAGTTTAGCATTAGCTAGAGACTAGCATATTTTTTCAGTAGTGCATTTTCATTGTGGACCAAAATATTTGCAAAGAGTATAGACCTCCATTTTAATGCAGCTTATTTTTTTTATGTAAGACATTTTTATTAACAGTAGTTCAGGATGGTTTATAGTGACTTTCCAATATAATATATATACTATAGGCCACTGATAGAATGATTTTCCTGCCAAATGTTTAAGAAAATCTAAATTTAACAAATTTAATAATAACATGTAGTAGCTGTGTTAATAACTGCTTTGTTGGTTTTTTAGTATTATTTTAAATGAAATCAATAGTATTAATGCTTTTAGGACAACAGCTATAAAATTATTTGATATACACTTCATTTGACTCAGCAATATAGATGTTATCAGTGTGATTTCTTTTTTTTCTCTTCCACATTTTTATTGATGCATTATAATTATTTGTGATAGTAAGATTCATTAACAGTATTTCTAAAAAATGAAATTCACTTTCTTTTTATACACTTTACATTGTTTTAATTTGCAATCACATGCATATAAATTCTTTTATGATTAATTCTCTTAACATGGTATAAAGCTCAAAAGTTTTTAAAAAGACATGTAGAGAAAGCTAAATCTTCCCTCCATCTCAGACTCCCTTCCTAGAAGCCATCACCATTACTAGTATTGTGTCTACTCTTCCAAAGATATCCTATATTCATATATTGTTTTAAATACTTAAATGTTATCATAAAAATTGTTGTTTTCATATAGTTCTGATAATGAAGAAGTTAATTAAGTTATTAACTTATCTGTTTTGGCAATTTTATCTAATCAGAATGACAGTAATCTATTGAACTGTCCATTATATGCCAGGTACTGACTGGTACTTCCCATACAACCTTGCAAAAGAGGAATAGTATTTTTGTCTTTATTTTATAGATGAAGAAATGGAGGCTCACAGAAGTTAGGTGACTTCCCTAAGTTAATTTATAAGTTAAGTGACACCTAGCTGGCAAGTGACAGAACCAAGATTCCAATCCAGGTCTGCACTCAGATCCCAGGCACAATTATGCCACACTGCTACACTCTCACTTGAGGTGCCATCTCCAAAGTAAAATGTTCCCTAGCCTGTGTAAGCAACCAACAGTACAGAAATTGGAGCTCTATGAATTGCTTTATTTGCCACTTCTTTAGCAAGGTCAGCTTGGGAAAGGGGTGCAGATAAGGATACATCAAGCTTAGCAGGAAGAAAAGGTAAAAGTTAGGAATTTTAGGATAAACCCAGATTATGGAAGGTTAAGAGGCAAAGCCTGGAACATATATGAAAGACTTTTGAAGCAAATCCATGGCTATGTACTTTGCCTGCTTTACACAGAAAAGATTTCTCACCCTTGACATACAAGAGCTCCTGAAATTGCTGTCAAACTCAAAAATGCCATCAGGGTGTGCTAGAACTCTATAGTAGACTACATTCAAAACTGTTATCAACAGACCAGCAGAGGTCACTGCAGACAATTCTACCTCAGACCCAAGCTGTGGAAGCAATTGTTAAAGCCGACTACCTTTCCATGTAAAGGGAGACAATGATCCATTTTCTTATCAAGCTTCCAGGAATCCATCTGAACCTCCGCCTCTCCAAGGAAAGTGTTTCTGCCAAAACGACCATGATGCCAAACTGAAAACTGCAATGTTCTTTGGGCCAGGAGAGATTCTGGAATCTCATACTGTGAAGGGAAAGTAGAAGTCCAAGATGGTTAGTTAGTAGTAATTTATCAAAATAGATTTTTTTTTCCAAATCCTAAGTAACCCATACTTAAAGTCCATAGTCCTAAATATCAAATTACTTTAGTCCCTAAGAACTTTGAGTTTCCTCATCCAAAAAGCTTCAATTTACTCCATTTCACAAAAATCTACCACACTCCATGGGAAAACCTGGAAATTTAATTGATTTTTTTGTTGTTGTTGTTGAGTGAATAAGGACACTGGAGCATAAAAAAATAATTTCCAAGGAGACTATTTATTCCAAATAGCTTTTTAAAATGAAATTTTTGGCCACCTGAATCTCTAACCTTGCAATACTCCAAGAAAGCCAGATTACTTTTGTTCTCTTCTCTAAGAGGTCAGGATGTGAACAGATGCCTAGAGCAGATCCTCAGACACAAACATGGCTCACTGAAGCCCATGTCAACCAGCCATGTTGCAGAGGTATAGCTCTAGCCTAGCACATAAGACAGAACAAGGTCTTTCCCCTCTAGATACTTACCCTGAAGATTTCATCATACAGTGGATTGACAGTATCCCGTTTGATGCTAGTTTTTCTTTTCCCTTGGCGAGATTTATCAGGTAGAAGATAAGTCTTTACATATCTAGCAACCAAAGAGAGTACTGAGTAATTTGCTGTCTTTTCTCAAGCCTCTTCTTTCTTCCCTGCTCTCCATATAAATGTGCCATCATGAAATGCAATGTTAAAAATGAGGGTTGTGACTCAGTGGCAGAGCACTTGCCTTGCACATGTGAGGCACTGGGTTTAATTCTCAGCACCACATAAAATAAATAAACAAAAAAAGATATGTGTCCATCTATAACTAAAAAAAATTTAAATGTCACATTAAGCCTAGCAAGATATGCTATTCTTGCTTTTTCCCAGTCTTGAGCCCTTTCTTACACCCATCTATCCATTCCTCCAGGAAGTGATAACCTCAGTTCTAGAGTGCCCAGAGATGGGCTGGGGTTGTATCTCAGTGGTAGAGTATGTGAGGCACTGAGTTCCATCCTTAGCATTGCATAAATAAATAAATGTCCATCAACAACTGAAAAAAAATTTAAAAACAAGGCTGCCCAGACAAATGCCAAGGTCTAATCTATCATCTCAGAGCATCAGTTAAGTTCCAGAAGACTCACGGGTTAGAGCGTTTCTTGGCTTCATCAGCATAGGCCAGCTGGTGGCACTCCTTCACATGGATGACCAGAGTCTGTGTCTTCTGCTCAAACTTAAGGGAAAAGGCAATCTTGCCAGTCACAAAGATGTTCCCAAAATCACCAGCTTCACTATAGATGCTCATCATGCTGCCAATGGTACTCTGAAGATAAAACACCCACAAATGTCTGAGGAAGGCACACTCTGACACCCACAATGCTCACACTTCCATCACAATAAAGTCACAGTCATCGAACAAAACAAAATGTCAGAAGCTCCTTCAAGGAGAAAATATAGCAGTCCTTTACCTAGAGGATGAGTCACAGCTAGCAGCACACTCACAATTGTTCAGGTTAATAAATTAGTTTGTGGCTCACCTAGGCTTTTAGCTTCTCTTTTCCCCTCCTTTTACACATTTGATTGTTAATTTTTCACTTGCCCCAGAAAGTGTGCAAGGAGTAGAGGTAAGGTGCAATTAAGTCTATTTATAGTTTGTGTTATATATGTTAAACCATTGGGGCTGTGGCTCAGTGGTAGAGTGCTTGCCTAGCATGTGTGAGGCACTGGATTCAATCCTCAGCACCACATCAAAATAAAATAAAGGTATCATGTCCATCTACAAGTAAAAAAAAATTAAGAAAACTTTGGCTAGAAGAGGTTAGTTACTAATTTAAATAACATGCCTTTATTATCTACATTATCTCTATTAAAACCTATACAGAAAAGAGACTGCCAGAATTGGGTGCAGGGATAGGGAGGAAATACCACCTGAAATACAAAGGCATTTTCCTCTCTGGTAGTGATTAGCTGTGTGGGCCTGACATTCTCTTCCTGTGTATGAGTGTGAAACTACTCACCCTTGTTCCCAACTGTTTCCCCTAAATAATATCAATCTTTATATGCATGATAGAACTAGGCCCATTTTTTTTGCTTTGCTTTTGTTGGTGCATTATAGTTGTAAATATTATGTGGGGTTCATTTTCATATAATCATACATGCATGGAATTTAAGTTACCCTGTTTCCGTCCCCAGTGCCTACCCCTTTATCTCTACTCCCCCCTTTTCTATTCCCCTTCTTCTACTCTACTAGTCTACTTTGCATATATATATATATATATATATATATATATATATATATATATAAACAGTGAACAGTGATGACAAATAAGATCACCTGAATCTTAGTCCCATACACACACACACACACACACACACACACACACACACACACACACATATACTGGAGATTGATTGGTGTTGATGAGTGCAGGGAAGGGAAACAACCTTCACAGCATCTCCTACAAAAATAGCTTTCTTTCTGGGAAGCCAGAAATGGGGAAATATATAAAAATAAAAATTCTTACATATGTGTTTACATGAAATCTCAAAGCTTTGCAACAATTATGGTTTCCACTAAAGGAAAATATTCATTTTTGAAGTTTATCTTTTTTGGTGGGGTGGATACCGGGGATTGAACTTAGGGGCTCTCGACCACTGAACCGCACCTCCAGCCCTATTTTGTATTTTATTTAGAGACAGGGTCTCACTGAATTGCTTAGTGCCTCACTAAATTGCTGAGGCTGGCTTTGAACTCACGATCCTCCTGTCTCAGCCTCCTAAACTGCTGGGATTACAGGTGTGTGCCACCATGCCTGGCTCATTTATATTTTTTAATTGTTGCTTTATAGATACGCATAAAAGTGGAATTCACTGTGGCATATTTATAAATGCACATAGGGTGATTTTGTCATATTCATTCTGCATTTCCTTCCCTTTCCCATCCTTCCTCATTCCACCTCAATCTCTTTCAACTCTACTGATCATACCTCTTTCTTTATGAGATCCAACATGCCCCCTCCTTTTCTCTCTTACTTTACTCTAGCTTGGCTTTCTGAATCTGGCTTATTTAACTTAGCATGGTGTTCTCTAGTCCCATCCAAGTACCGGCATATGTGATAATTTCATTCTTTGTAGCTGAGTAAAACTCCATTGTGTATACATACAACATTTTCTTACTCCATTCCTCTATCGATGGGCACCTGGGCTGGTTCCATAACTTGGCTATTGTGAATTATACTACTCTAACCATTGATGTGGCTATATCACTATAGTATACTGATTTTAGTTCTTTAGGATATATACCAAGGAGTGGGATAGCTGGGTAATATGGTGGTTCCACTTCTAGTTTTCGGAGGAATCTCCATACTGCTTTCCAGTATGGCTATACTAATGTGCAGTCCTACCAACAATGTATGAGAGTACTTTTTACACCACACCCTTTCCAGAAATTATCATTCTTTGTATTCTTGATGATTACAATTCTAACTGGGGTGAGATGAAATCTCAGTGTAGTTTTGATTTGCAATTCCCTGATTGCTAGGGATGTTGAACATTTTCTCATGTATTTGAGTTGCTTCTTTTGAGAAATGTCTGTTTAGTTATTTTGCCCATTTTATTGATTAGGGGGTTTTTTTGGTGTTAAGTTTTTTGAGTTCTTTATATATTCTAGATATTAATCCCCTATCGGAAGAGTAGGTAGCAAAGATTTTCTCCCATTTTGTAGGCTTTCTCTTCAGGCTCTTAATATTTCCTTTGCTGGGTAGAAGCTTTTTAATTTCATACTGTCCCACTTACTGACTCTTGGTTTTATTTCTTGCAATTTCAGGGTCTTTTAAGGAATTCAGTGCCTGCACCAATATAATGAAGTGCTGACCCTAAGTTAGGCCCTGATTCTTAAACATCATTTTAACTTCATGATCCTGACTGGTACCATGATCCTTAACCATACCCTGATGCCAACTAAACCTGCCAGAGCTCTTGTCATGATACTCACTTCTTTTTAATGTGAAAATCTGGAGTGGGCTATGATGAAGAAATCTGTTCTTGCTCATTTCATAGCTGAGTACTACTTAAAGGGAGAAGTTATAGTTACTGTTCACAAAGCTATATAGCCATACTGACCTAATGTAATAATATCCAGGGTATAGATAGGTTCAGGAAGTCATGTAGATATACACTAAGCATAAGACCATGACCATATAGTCCCAGCTGCTTTGGGTTTGTGAAGGTATAGTACATCTTTGCTTGTATGGCAGAAAAAGCCCATTCATTCACCTCATGGTTAAGGATAAGTACAAACAAATGCATCTGCTTTACCTGGAAAAGGCATCTAAGCTGATTTTTGCCAGGTACTGAGTCTGCTCTAGGGAGTGTCTTCTTTCCTTCCTGGAAGTGTCTCTAACCACAGAACTAACAGAACTTACCATGGAGGATCCACTTTGCATGCTGCTTCTGGCTAGTTTCTGGCGATGCAACTTCACCAGGTGGTCAATGTCTTCTTCTTCTTCTTCTTCTTCTTCTTCTTCTTCTTCTTCTTCTTCTTCTTCTTCTTCTTCTTCTGCTATTGCTTCTGATTCTGCCTCTTTTTCTTCCTGGAGCAGTAAATATAGATTAAGAATTAATAAAAATAATACCAGGGTGCAGGGGCACATGCCTGTAATCCCAGGGTCTCTGGAGGCTGAGGCAGGAGGATCGTGAGTTCAAACCCAGCCTCAGCAAAAGTGAGGCACTAAGCAACTCAGTGAGACCCTGTCTCTAAAGAAAATACAAAATAAGGCTGGGGATGTGGCTCAGTGGTGAAGTGCCCCTGAGTTCAATCCCTGGTATCCACCCCCCAAAAAAAGATAAACTTCAAAAACTAATATCTTTCCTTTAATGGAAACCTTAATTGTTGCAAAGTTCTGAGATTTCATGTAAACACATATGCAAGTATTTTTATTTTGATATGGTACCCCATTTCTGGCTTCCCAGAAAGAAAGCCATTTTATCATATTTAAAAAAGAATAAGATATAATTACTTAACATTTTTATAGGAAATATAACTCTTTTCCATTCAAATACTTCAACCCATCCATCCCTTTACATTTTTGAAATAAGTATTTATTTGAGCACTTAACTATATAGCAGGATATTAGAAGATAACAGAGAAAACAGTTATTTCCTTTAAGCAAAACAGGAATTGGATTTACTTCAGAAATTGGGGGCAATCAACATTCATGTTGCATTTTAAACAGATTGACTGAAAACAAGTACTAAAATCACCTCTACATTTAAAAAAAAAGATGAATGTATTGGCCAAATTAAATATATAATAGTACTTACCATATCCACGTTGAGGCCTGGGACAGATTTGCTTCTGTCTCCCAAGGAGCCACTTTCATGCCCCATATCTTCTGGGCGCAGATCTATCACAGATTTAGTGCATTCTGAGTGGAAGACCAAAAACCCAAATCAAAAGAGACCCACTCTACTCCATAACAAGAGCCCAGAAAGGATATTCAGAATTTCAGTCCTGAAGGCTATAAAGGGAAACTGGCTACCTGAAGGCCTGAGGATTTTTCTGGTGTTCTTCTTGAATATCATTTCACCCTCATCAACAGGTACCACATTTTGACCCCCTGAATGAATTTCCTAGGAAAGAATAAGGACAAAAACAATGCTAAGCAGGAAGTGTGAATCAGGCAGTATAGCGATACCAGACTTCAAACTATACTACAGAGCAATAGTAACACAAACAGCATGGTACTGGTACCAAAACAGGCGGGTGGACCAATGGTACAGAATAGAGGACACAGAAACCAATCCACAAAACTACAACTATCTTATATTTGATAAAGGGGCTAAAAGCATGCAATGGAGGAAGGAGGAAGGATAGCATCTTCAACAAATGGTGCTGGGAAAACTGGAAATCCATATGCAACAAAATGAAACTGAATCCCTTTCTGTCGCCATGCACAAAAGTTAATTCAAAATGGATCAAGGAGCTTGATATCAAATCAGAGACACGGCGTCTGATAGAAGAAAAACTTGGCTACAATCTACATACTGTGGGGTCGGGCTCCAAATTCCTCAATAGGACACCCATAGTACAAGAGTTAATAACTAGAATCAACAAATGGGACTTACTCAAACTAAAAAGTTTTTTCTCAGCAAAAGAAACAATAAGAGAGGTAAATAGGGAGCCTACATCCTGGGAACAAATCTTTACTCCTCACACTTCAGATAGAGCCCTAATATCCAGAGTATACAAAGAACTCAAAAAATTAGACAATAAGATAACAAATAACCCAATCAACAAATGGGCCAAGGACCTGAACAGACACTTCTCAGAGGAGGACATACAATCAATCAACAAGTAC